CTCTAATTTCACTAATAATTACATGAAGAACTAAACAGTGCTTTTTACATTTCAAGGACTACAATGACTTAGAATGCAGGGATATTTTTACCCGGCTGATTCTGGGAAACCTTCCCGGGAGAGTGCATCAGCCATCCTGTTCAAGGCTCCTGAAATATGTTGTATTTCAAAATCAAAGTCTTGAAGAGCTAAACTTCACTGAAGAAGTTTTTTGTTAGTTTCTTTGACTGAGTGAAGCCACTGGGTGGGTATCCATAAAAGGGAGCTATCCCCTGGCCCCCCTTCATTTATCACACACGGTATCTAAAGCCAGTCTAAACATGGCTACTTTTCCCAGGCAAGACAAAGCCATGGTAAGACTCAGTTCCTTCTCTGAAGTGCAAATTTTAAAGCAAAACATAATAAATGGGTTTAATAAGCAATAGGAGGAAGAAGTGGGTGGAAAGATAAGGAGAACACCAAAAGATCATCTAGTTAGGCTGGCTGGCACACAAGTTACTCTTGCTCAGTTGGTGGAGCTATAACACTTTTAAACAGCCATTTACAGTTTTTTCATTTGCCAGCTTTGCCTTCCCCATTTTAGTTCCCATCAGGTGCCCTGGCACAATATGAGGGTGGGGGAGGGAATTGCTACACAAGATTTACATGATGCTTTACCACCGGAAAAGAGAGTTGAGAATTAAGTTCACATTCCACTATTGGGTTTAAACTCATTTCTCCTTCACAGATTCTAGTTTGTACTTTTCCATGTTGGTAAAGAGTGAGAGAGTCTAGCTGATACGCTGCAATGTTGACAATGAGTAATTCCTAATTAAACACATCAAAGATGGATGCAAACAGGCCAGGGGCATCTACTGTAGCATGTTTCAAAAACACCGAACAACCAGTAACTTATGCGAAACAAATGGCGTTTACCACTTATATAAACACGCTGCACATACAGTATGCGTGATATTTCTCAAATTGGCCCTCTCAGCTCACATTGGGGCAAGAAGTCTCTTCAGTACTTCTCTGTCCATCGCAATGATGATTTACCTGGACTCTTGTTATTCTTGAGCAGTGCTTATTGGAAAGAATGGGACATACTTCCCACATCTGTCTCACCACTGACCTGAACAACAAGATCTAACCTCCTAGCACTGTGTCATGGGGCTCTGCCCCAGAGCAGCCCACACACACATGCTGGTGTCTCACCTGCTGGTGCCCCCTTGGGACTGGGTGCAGGGTTATTAAGCCTTTCCCTTGGTCGCCTCCTCCTGTTGGTCTCCTATGGCCTAGTCCTCTTGCGAGGTCACTTAAAAATTCAGTCCCTTTCCAGGTTACTGAAAATCCCCAAATGAACAACAAGAATTAACAAGAAGTCCCAAGTTAACCCATAGAAAAGGTTGTCCACCTTCCTGAGCAACTCTTCAGTTCCCTGTTCCTCTTGTGGAATATTGGCTCCAGGACTGCTTCTTTGGAGCCTGGGTAACTCAGGTAGTTATTACCTCCTCCCTTAAACCAGCTCACTCCGTGGAGTATGACATACTCTAGCCAGCTGCAGGGCTTTAGCCAGCTTCTCCCTCAGCTGGTCCCTTTTCTCCCAGTTATCCCTGAGACTCAGAGGGTTTAGCAGCCTTCTCCTGCAGGTGTCTGCATTGCTATTGAAGAAGTAGGCAGCAGATATGCTAGTCCTCATTTCCCAACCTGGCCCTGTGCCTCCCAGGTTTAAGGAAGAAAAGAGCTGGCCACCAAGGAGTCAAACAGAGAGAAGTCTGAGAGGAGGCCTGGCAGTTCATAACCCCCAGAGGCAGGTGGTCCTGGCAGAATTCTACATGGCTGGAGACAGATGGGGATGGGCCGGCTCTGGCCACCAGAGAGAAGAGGACTGGGAGGAATTCTATTTCCAATCAATATCAGGATCTCAATGTGGAAACTGTGGAAGATACCTCTCAAGCTGGTCCTAAGGAAGAGAGAGATGTATGGGACACACCTGTGGATGGCAGCTTGGCCCAACTTGTTAAAAAAAAGTCAAGCTTGCCCCACAAAGAGTTCTCCAACCACCCAAGGAAGACAGATGATCCTTGCTGGGGATTCAATACTAAGAAGATTTGAAAGAACATTTCACAAGGGACAGGGGAACAACAGGATAGTGTGTTGCCTTCCCAGAGATGAGACATCACTCTAAGACCGGATAGGCTTCTGAAGTCTACGGGAAAGAATCCACTGGGGATGATTCACATTGGCCCTCGTGACACTATGTTGCAGGATATCTCGCAGATAATAGATGAATTCAGGGAACTCAAAAGCATGCTGAAAAAGGAGAATGTCCAAGCTATCATCTCTGAGATCCTTCCTGTTCTGTGAGTGAAGGAAGACAGAAGATCCCGGAAGTGAATCACTGGCTAGGTAAGTGGTGGAGGGTGGAAGGTTTTGGTACAGCTTGGATGGCATCCACTTCCATAGAGAGGGAACTAACTTACTCAGGGATAGGCTTGCTAGAGTAGTTAGGAAGGCATTAAATTAATAACAAAAGGGAAGGGTAAAAAGAGGGAGGATATGAGAGCTTCTTTAGCACAAAATTGAGATATTGAAAACAAAATTAAAAAAGGACCCACAGGACACGAAGAGAAGAAATGATTTCATTGCCTAGACACCAATGCTAGGAGACTGGATACAAACAAGAGGAATTGGAATTGCTCATTTATGAGCACAAGTTCAATCTAGTTGGTATTAGTGAAACCTGGTGGGATGATTCACATGATTGGAATGTTAAAATCAATGGGTAGAACCTATTTAGGAAGGATTGAGTGAGCATAACTGGAAGATAAGTGGCACTACATCAAAAATGGCATTACCTGTTTCTGTGTCACTGATAACTTGGAAGAAAATTATCTTGAATGCTTATGGATCAATTTCTTAACAGATCAAGTACAAAATGGGGTATTAGTTGGTATCTTCTACAGACCATCAGAACAGGATGACTGGCTCTTTCTGCACCTATTTATAATGTGTAGGAAAAAAAGCTGCATGATCATGGGTGACTTCAATTTGAGTGGCAGATGGTGGAGGTCTTATGCTGCCAGAATTATAATGTCTTTGGAATTTCTAACTATTATAGATGACTATTTCCCAATTCAGAAAGTGTAGTATCCAACAAGGGGGAATTCTATATTAGACCTCATCTTGACAGATAAAGCAGAACTGATCACAGAACTAAAGGTTAATGGTAGCTCAGGCACAAGTGATCATGACTTGATCAGATTTATAATGTTCAAACAGAATGAAATCCAGACCAGTACTTGGTGCTTTAAAAGGGCCAATTTAACAAAGCTGAAAACAATTGAGCTAAATCAGCTGGGGGGAAGAATTTAATCAGAAAAATGGAATGACAATTGGGAATTGTTTAAGAACATTTTATTAGATGCCCCAAAAGCCACAACCCATAATCAAGAAAGAAGGCTGAATTGTTTAAAAAACTGATTTGGTTTACAGGGTAAGGGAGCTATAAAAAATGTAACAAATGGAAAAAAAAGGGAAAGTTGATAATAATGAATATAAATCAGAAGCTGGGAATTGTAAAACATTGTTAAGGGAAGCAAAAGGACATGAAGGAGAAAACTAAGGCCAGCAGAGCTACTTTAAAAAAAAAGTATATTAGCCTCCAGTGCTCCACTGCACTGTCTAGAACAGGGGTCAGCAACCTATGGCACGCGTGCCAAAGACAGCACGAGCCGATTTTTAATGGCAAGCTGCTGCCTGCCGGGGTCCCTGCGGGGGCAGGGGGCAGAAGCTTGGTCCTGCCAGCTCCCCTACCTCTTCCCGCAGTGTGCTGGGTTCCTGCCCCTCCTCCTCCTCTCCGTCCCTCCCTCCCTGCCGGCTGATCAGCTGATGGCCCTTGTGAGGGAGGAGGTGGGGGAGGAGCGGAGTCAGCATGCTCACTGCTCCTGGCAGAGGCAGAGAAGAAGCGGGGGCAGGGCCTTGGGGAAGGGGGGGGTAGAAGTGGGGCATATCCCCTCCAGCCCCTGGCCGTGAGCAACCCACGACCCTAACCCACACCCGCAGCCGTCTTCCCTGACCCCCCCTCGCACACACACACAGCCCTCTGCCTTGAGCCCTGCAGCCCCGCACACCCCCAGGTCCCTGCCATGAGCCCTGTACCCCCCTCACGCACTCACAGCCCTCTGCTTGACTCCTTCACCTCCTCCCCCCCCCCAACCCCAGACCGTGGACCAGGCAAGTGTTAAGTACTCTAAGGCACGGAATCAGGCAATGGAGATTAAATCAATAATTATGGGCAATGCCATCTCAGGTAACAAGATCCCCGGGGATGGATCTGGGTGCTATTCTGCCAAATTATGTGGGGACTGTCCATCCTAACAGTCCTGATGGTGTTGATACTTTACCGGCGATTCCAAAGTAAGCTGAAAACGCTAAAATTGTTATCCTTGACCTGGCGGATTAGGGAAACCTAGAGTCAAGAGGAGGGACTGAAGGGTCAGAATCCATTAGCTATGGATGTAAGATCTTAACTACAGTTTCTCCTGAGAACTTTTCATATAGGCCCGGAGTCCACAGCTTGGCTTGGGCTATGGGGGCTGGCTAACAGAGAACAATACATAGCTCAGAGGAAGCTGGGGTAAACAGATATCCTCGTGTGTTTCAAGTCAGTGAGCAGTATCAGCATAACCCCGAATGTAATTGGGCGTCCTTATCACGAGTTATAGACACATGAAGCGCTGAGAAAGGTCTCACGGTTACTCCCTAAAGCAGAGAGGAGATAGTGGTACAATACCCCTCACATCCTAGACAAAGTTCGGGGTGAGGCCTAATATGATTGACATGAGTTATGACACCCTCCCCTCACAGATGTATGCCAGTCCTAGCCCATAGAAATGCAAGGGTAAGCTTGTGCAATTGTTAAGTACTAATTACTGCTTTTTCGCTTTAAATCTCTAGGAATGTACCTGTTGGTCAACCAAGAGAGCTGCTACCTCATTCCCTTGGACCCCAACATTAGGATTTAACCTATACCCTTTAATAGACATAGTTTGGGGGTAATTACCTGTGTGTCAGCAGCATGTGAATTTGGGCCATGGGCGGAACCATTATATAATCTTGTAGACCATTGGCTTATTGTGCTTATCTTGTCTTGCTGTTAGAACCTACCCAGGGGTTTCGGAAAACCCATTCCTTTTCCTTCTCTCCATCCAATGAGCACCATATATAATCTATTGTGACTAATTGTTTTGCAGTGTCTCTGAGCCTAATAAGCAAAGTGACACTCCGCCAGCACTGTGCGTAATAAACTCCTGCGCTTGACTCTGCACTGTGTGGATTATTGTTCCTTCAGATGGGGGCTTGTCCAGGATACAAGCTTGTGAACTGATTGAGGAACTGAGACTGAGATCCAAGAGAGGTGAGTATGTTTAATTTACCACCTCATTAGGCTAGGGTTAGAGGTCTCTCATCCCCTTTCAGACACATCTTGTTCCCACTTTTTAAATTTAAGTGCAAAGAAACCTGGACACGTGTAGTACAAGCAGAGGGGTTAATAAGGGTACCAATTGGGAGGGGAGATGTGGGAGAGGGTTATGTACTGTTTAAACTAAGGGGTGTGTTACGGAGGACTTGGACAAACCACCAGCAAGTGATTGACCGTGAGTTAAGCCCAGGACTGGCTGTGTACGCAAGCGGTAGGCAGTGTAAACTGGTGGTCCCATTTCCTCATTGCACATTACATTGCAAGCCCCCACCCCCAGGCATGTAACATACATACCTTTGAATAGCATAAGTCTCCAATAAAGCTGGCAATTGTGTGTAACTTAAGACCGCGGTATTCAAAGGAGAGACGTACATCCCCATTAAAGCTGTCAGGTGTAGAGATTGAGACCACAGAATTTAAAGGGGGAAACGTAAATCCCCATCAAGGCTAAACAACCGTGGAGATTGAGACTACGATGTTAAGGGGGGAAGACGCACATCCCCATCAAGGCTGACGGCTGTGAAGATTGAGATCATGGTGTCAAGGGGAAGATGTACATTTCCAACAAGGTCAGCAGCCAGGGTGATTAAAACCCATGGCATCAAAGGGGGAGATGAGAGTCAGCCCTCGAGAATATTTGGAGTATAAACATGTCAAAACTCGGCAAGCAGCAGTTAAAAAAGCAAACTATGTTGCAACCGGACCAGAGGAAGAATTGGTTAAAGGGTGGAGTGACCAAAAAGGTGACAAAACAGACAAAGCAGTAATAGTTATATTGGATATACTCAACATAAAAGAAAAGGAAAATACGACCTTAAAAGCTGAGAATAAGGCACTAAAAGAGAAACGCCCATGCCAGAATGACAACACTCCCTTTAAAATGTATAACTGTCAGGAAACTGGAAAAGATCCCAGAGCAGGAGAATCACAATCACTATGCCTGGGACATGCTACCAGATGGGGGGGAGGGGATCTCACACCCGGCAGCCAGCTCACACTCGCCAGTCAGCCAGCTGCCAGCCAGCCAACTGCACCACTGATTAACTATCCGTGGGCAGATCTGGCAGATGAGCAAATGAGAGGAATCGGAACCCCCTCCATACACGTCCCTGCATGGGCCAGCACTTCAAAGGTCAAATCTGGCCACCCCCAGGGATAACGAGGGGGAGCCACAGGGGTTAATTGCCCCAGGGGAGCAAGTACAACATATGGCTCCAATTAGGACACAGCATAGAAAGATCAGAAATCTCAATGATCAGGGTCAGGCCTCAAATGGGTAGAAACATTACTAGCCTGACAAACCAAATTGGTGAGTGCCTAACTTGACAGAGAAGGGGATTAGCAGATACTATTGCAGGATGGTTTGGCGCAGGTAACTCTGAGGGCAACACTTATGCCATAGCACACCAAGCTGAAAGGAGGAGCCGACTTCAATCAAGGCTGGCAGATGCTATAATATCTAACGCCCGGGGAGGATTGGATACTAATAGGGCCAGTCGACTGATCCTGGACAGCTTAAAGGATCTGTCAAACTCTGTATCCACCTCCTTGGTTATAACAAAATACCTGGGTCAAGAATTCACCAGCCTGTTAATAAATGGTACCAAAATAAGGGAACTGGAGGAAAGTTGTTGGAGAGCAGGGAAAGCATTGGCCATCACCACACAAGGAATTGTAACCGATCTCCTGGATGGCCGGGTCCACCAAGCCCTTATGGAAGTGGTGGGACCCCATCTCCTCAGTACCCCTCTGTGGGAATGGGGAAATAGAGAATCAATGAGAGTCCAAAGACCGTCTTGGACAGGTCATAGCATAATCTTCAGCCTCCTAGTGCCTCTGAGTATCCCTCAATCTCAACGAGCTAGAATGGTGACTTCCCTGCCAGTATGGAGGAGGGGTCATGTTACTAAAATAGAAGGCATTGCATATTCCGAGGTTGCTGGGAAAGCGTTGTACCCTAGTGAATGTTGCACCCACTCTGATAAGGAAATTCTATGTATATGCCCAAATAATGTTCTAACAAATCTGTCTAGGTTCGAAGTGGCCGTCACTGAGAAACTGATGCACATGGAGCTGGTCCAGATGAACGGTACCTTCTGGTGTGTGACTACCCAGAACCACTCCATCGAGTTAAATGGAAAGCCCTGTCCCTCGACACATGCATCCGTGTGCACGATGGTTCCCCAAAGGGCAACCCTAACTGTTGACGGGACACGGCTCCACCGTACTCTGCCAATGACGGCTAACCTTACATGGGATCGGGAATGGCACTACGGCAGTAAGTATCTAGAGGAGGGTCTTCTGGCCCTGCAGGCGAAGATTGAGGAGTTGGTGGCCGAGGCCCAGAGTCACATTGGGGAAGGCCGTCTAAGGTACACTTGGATAGGGGAGACCGTGGACCAGGCCAGTGTAAAGTACTCTAAGGCACAGAATCAGGCAATGGAGGTTAAATCAATAATTATGGGCAATGCCATCTCAGGTAATGAGATCCCCTAGGGATGGATCTGGGTGCTATTCTGCCAAATTATGTGGGGACTGTCCATCCTGACATTCCTGATAGTGTTGATACTTTACCGGCGATTCCAAAGTAAACTGAAAATGCTAAAATTGTTATACTTGACCTGGCAGGTTAGGGAACCCTAGAGTCAAGAGGAGGGACTGAAGGGTCAGAATCCATTAGCTATGGATGTAAGATCTTAACTACAGTTTCTCCTGAGAACTTTTCATGTAGGCCCGGAGTCCACAGCTTGGCTTGGGCTATGGGGGCTGGCTAACAGAGAACAATACATAGCTCAGAGGAAGCTGGGGTAAACAAATAACCTTGTGTATTTCAAGTCAGTGAGCGGAGTCAGCATAACCCCGAATGTAATTGGGCATCCATATCGTGAGTTATAGACACATGAAGCGCTGAAAAGGCCTCACGGTTACTCCCTAAAGCAGGGAGGAGATAGTGGTACAATACCCCTCACATCCTAGACAAAGTTTGGGGAGAGGCCTAATATAATTGACATGAGTTATGACACCCTCCCCTCACAGATGTATGCCAGTCCTAGCCCATAGAAATGCAAGGGTAAGCTTGTGAAATTGTTAAGTACTAATTACTGCTTTTTCGCTTTAAATCTCTAGGAATGTACCTGTTGGTCAACCGAAAGAGCTGCTACCTCATTCCCCTGGACCCCAACATTAGGATTTAACCTATACCCTTTAATAGACATAGTTTGGGGGTAATTACCTGTGTGTCAGCAATATGTGAATTTGGGCCATGGGCGGAACCATTATATAATCTTTTAGACCATTGACCTATTGTGCTTATCTTGTCTTGCTGTTAGAACCTATCCAGGGGTTTGGGAAAACCCATTCCTTTCGCTTCTCTCCACCCAATGAGCACCATATATAATCTATTGTGACTAATTGTTTTGCAGTGTCTCTGAGCCTAATAAGCAAAGTGACACGCCGCCAGCACTGTGCGTAATAAACTCTACACCATGTGGATTATTGTTCCTTTACTCATGAAGTCATACACAGGCACCCTGGACAGTAGTAAGGAGCTGTTCAACTACAGGCTGAACAAGTGCAGAATGGTGGTAGAATGTGCATTTGGACGTTTAAAAGCGCACTGGCACAGTTTACTGACTCTGTTAGACCTCAGCGAAACCAATATTCCAATTGTTATTGCCACTTGCTGTGTGCTCCACAATATCTGTGAGAGTAAGGGAGAGATGTTTATGGCGGGGTCTCGCCGCTGATTATGTGCAGCCAGACACCAGGGCGATTAGAAGAGCACAGCATGGCGCGCTGTGCATCAGAGAAGCTTTGAAAACCAGTTTCATGACTGGCCAGGTTATGGTTTGACAGTTCTGTTTGTTTCTCCTTGATGAAAACCCGCCCCCTTGGTTCACTCTACTTCCCTGTAAGCCAACCACCCTCCCACCTTCGATCAAAACTTGCAGAGGCAATAAAGTCATTATTGTTTCAAAATTATGCATTCTTTATTAATTCATCACATAAATAGGGGGATAACTGCCCAGGCAGCCCGGGAGGGGTTGGGGAGGAGGGAAGCACTGGGTGGGGTGGTGGATGAGGGGAGGAGGGAAGGACAAGGCCATACTGCACTTCAAAACTTATTGAATGCCAGCCTTCTGTTGCTTGGGCAGTCCTCTGGGGTGGAGTGGTTGGGCGTCTGGGTGAGGAGGCTATGGAACTTGGGGAGGAGGACGGGCGGTTACATAGGGGCAACAGCGACGGTCTGTGCTCCTGCTGACTTTCCTGCAGCTCCACCAGATGCCAGAGCATATCAGTTTGATCCCCCAGTAGCCTCGGCATTGCATCCTGCCTCCGATTATCGCGTTGCCGCCACCTCTCTTCTTGCTCCCGCCACCTCTCTTCTCATTCGTCCCTCCTGTCCTTGCGTTCATTTTCTGCTTTCCTGGACTCTGACATTGTTTGCCTCCACGCATTCTGCTGAGCTCTTTCAGTGCTGGAGGACTGCATGAGCTCAGAGAACATTTCATGGTGAGTGAATTTTTTTCGCCTTCTTATCTGTGCTAGCCTCTGGGACGGAGAAGATAGGGGTAGCGTTGAAACATTTGCAGCCATGGGAGGAAAAAAAAGGAGCGTAGTATTTAAAAAGACACATTTTAGAGAACAATGGGTAGACTCTTTCACTGTGAACCAAGCTGTTAACATTACATAGCACATGCGCTTTCGGTACAAGGTCGCATTTTGCCTCTTATATTGAGGGCCTGCCGGTTTGGTGTGAGAGATCACACACACAGGGCCGGGCAACAGAATTCGGCTTGCAGGCAGCCATGGATTTCCGCTCCATCCCCAGACACGTTAACAGACTTTTCCAGTAGCTGTACTGGCCGTGAATGCCAGGGCAAATTCATCATTAAACATGCTTGCTTTTAAACCATGCATTATATTTACAAAGGTACACTCACCAGAGGTGCCTTCTCCGGCTTCATGGTCCATGAGCCCACCTTGGGAGGGTTGGGAGGGTATAGGCTACAGGGTGATAAACAGTTCCTGGCTGTCAGGGAGAATGGTTTCTCCGCTTGCGTGCTGTGCGCTATCTTCATCCTCCTCCACCTCCTCATCTTCCTTGTCCGCAAAATCCTCATCCCTGTTGCATGAGACTCCCCCCTTGCAGGTGTCCACAGACAGGGGTGGGGTTGTGGTAGGGGCCCCCCCTAGAATTGCATGCAGCTCATCATAGAAGCGGCATGTCTGGGGCTCTGACCATTTGCCTCTTTGGTTTTTTGGTAGGCTTGCCTGAGTTCCTTAATTTTCACGCCGCACTGCTGTGGGTCCCTGTTGTAGCCTCTGTCCATCATGCCCTTGGAGATTTTTTCAAATATTTTGGCATTTTGTCTTTTGGAACGGAGTTCTGATAGCATGGATTCGTCTCTCCAAACAGCGATCAGATCCAGTACCTCCCGTTCGGTCCATGCTGGAACTCTTTTGCAATTCTGGGACTGCATGGTCACCTGTGCTGATGAGCTCTGCGTGGTCACCTGTGCTGATCAGCTCGCCACGCTTGTCAAACAGGAAATGAAATTCAAAAGTTCCTGGGGCTTTTCCTGTCTACCTGACCAGTGCATCTGAGTTGAGAGTGCTGTCCAGAGCGGTCACAATGGAGCATTCTGGGATAGCTCCTGGAGGCCAATACCATCGAATTGCATCCAAACTACCCCAAATTCGACCCGGCGATGTCAATTTCAGTGCTAATCCCCTCGTCGGGGAGGAGTACAGAAATTGATTTTAAGAGCCCTTTAAGTCGACAAAAATGGCTTCATCGTGTGGATGGGTGTAGGGTTAAATCGATCTAACGCTGCTAAATTCGACCTACACTCGTACTGTAGAACAGGGCTAAGTGCTATGTAAGTTGTAATCACATCCTCCCCCCTCCCCAGAAGAAGATGCCTATAGTCATTTTCTGGACAAGATGTACACATATTGTTTTTCTAATCTTCTTTCACAAATCTGTTTCCCCTAAATCATTTTTGATATTTTCTTTTTAATTCCCTCCAAATTGCCTTTTTATCTCATTGAGATCTCATCAGAATATCTGTTTTTTCCCAAAGAATTTGCCAGCAGTGGGAGAAAACAGTTATAAATATACTTTTAATGTATTGTCCACTGCTTATTTGGAAAATCTATCTAGCATGTGGGTTCATTTTAATAGAAAATTCAGCGTTGTCCAGTTATGTAAAACTGGACAGTGGCTCATTGCTGGGAAAAGAATAATGAGCAACTAGTGAAACACAGAGCACGTATATTCCTTGGAAATAGCCAAAGAGGTCCTGGAAACGACATGACCTTCTGTGCACAGTAGGTGCTTGCAAAATAGCAGAATGAGTTTCAGTTGCATAGTTCTGAGAGACGGACAGTGCATAGGAAATAAATGATCTATTCAGCTGCTGTTGGCGTTTCATGTAAATTGTGCATGCAGCTTTGGAAATGTGGGTTATATTTGTAAATGTATTAGTATTTAACAAGCAGTAAATAGTTTTCCTTACCTGGGACTGCACCTTGACACGGTGGGAAGGACTGCAAATTCCAATGAGCCCAAGAGCTATGCTGGCAGGAGTTTAACAACTGTTAGGGCCACCCCAGCTGGACAGGTCAAAGGGTGGGGACCAACAAAAAGCGGTCCATTGCTAGGGTAGACCAGACTTCTTAGCTCCAGTAGGCATTTGGTCTAGAAGAAGGCATAATCCGTATTCAAACTGGGGCTATCTGGCCTGCTAGCCAGTCATGGCCCATGGACCAAGCGCTTTCTGCTTCATTTTCCAGTGGTGTTAGCAAGCAAGCTTCAGCACTGCTGCACAGCCCAGGCAGTGCTTTGGCTGTTGATGGGTTCTGCATGTGATTGTCTCAATTGTTTCACCTGCACATCGCAAAGTGCTCCATCGTTGTTTGTCAGCCCACCCATTGCAGCCTTTTGCATCAGTGGACAAAATGGCCAACAAAAAGGAGAGTGTGAGACTAGTCATGCACATCCTAGCAGAGGAGACATGCGGGGGCGGGGGGTGAGTAGGTCAAGTGCCTCCCCCCAGATTGGCCTGCTGGGGGTGGGGAGGGAGGAGAGCTCTGTCCTTCTCTTCCTGCACCTCCCTACCCCAGCACATTTGGCCACTCTCCCTGGCAGCTGGGCGGGGAGCGGGATGGAGCCATTTCTGCCTGACAGAGCCTCGCTGGGAGGCAGCGGCGGCCTCCTCCCCTCCCCAGCGTGCTCACTCCTATCCCCGGCAGCAGGGCCCAGGCAGGGAGGAGCCACTGCTGCCTCCCAGCCAGGCTCTCTCAGGCAGGAGCAGCTCCGCCCCACTCCCCGCCCTGCTGCAAGGCAGAGCAGCCAAACATGTGGGGGGAGGCTCAGGGAGAGAAGGACCGAGAGCTCCCCCACAGGTAACATGGGGTGGGGAGAGCGCAGCAGCCCTGAGCTGGGTGCAGGGTAGGTTGGGGGTGTCAATGGGCAGAGGAGACACATGGGGAGGTCACGTGCCCTCCCCTTTAGATTGTCATCCCCTCCTGTACAGGGAGGCACAAGTCATCTATCCCAGTACCATTTTAAACAACTCTGTGCAGGTCTACAGTCCTTACTCCTTGCTATCTCTTCACTTGTTCCATTCTTTGAAAGTCCTAAAGTGATGGGCAAGTGGTGATGGCAGAGGATGCTGCGGGGTGTCCTACTCACAAATCTGCACACAGAAGGTGTGAGAGTGATGGTCATTCATTGCTGACTCGAAGCAATATCAGTGTCCGTATCTTCTCATGTGACAGAACAGCCTTCTTTAGGGATAGCGCTGCTTTCCTTAATCCAGGGAAGAGTGAGAAGAGGATCCCTAGATATCGCTCACTCCATTATCTACTTGCTAGTAGGCCAGGACTAGCTGGCCATCCAACTGTGTAGTAAAAAGCAACATCATACACAAAGAATACTGAACTTTGCACCCAGGGAATGTCAAAGAAAAATTCTACAAAGACTTCAACCCCACCATAAAGACAGCTCATCACTGTGACAAATTAATTCTCCTAGGAGACTAACACCACAGTTGGCTGCACTCACAAAGCTTGGCCTAAAGTAATTAGTAAACATGGTGTCAGGAAAGAGAACTCAAATGGCATACTGATCCTCACAAAGTGCATGGAGAGCCAGCTAGTCATCACAAACACAATATTCCACCCAGCAATGAAGAGCAAAACAACTTGGATGCATCCCCATTCTGGTCATTGGCATTTGACTATGTCATTGTCCACCAACGTGATTGGGTACCTAAAGGAATAAATGAACACCTGGGACATCAACATCACCCATGCAATGCAGGGAGCATGCATGTGGTCTGAGCATTGGCTTGTGAGATGTAAAATGACACTGATCCTCCAATTAAAACAGCACTGATGTCCTCAGTCTCCAGCATCCAAGCTAAATGTGCACGTGCTGAAGACTGAACTCATGTGCACAAGGCTTGTTAAAAAAGTGAAGTTCATGACACTTTCTCAGTTGGACATAATAAAGTCTGACTCTGCCTAGTCATTTTTAAAGGAAACAGCGTTTGATGCATCTAAAGAAGTCCTCAGTTTTGTAAAGAG